ATGGGCCAGGCGGATGCATCCTGTAATTCACTGCAATACACGACAGACACATTGAATTATAAAACATTACTAAAGTATAATTAAATATGAATAAATATTATTGACATTAATACTTAAATGATAATGTAAAATGTAAGTTATAATTAAGTAGTTGTAAAACACAAGCAAGCACCTTGAACTAGAGGTGGACATCCATGGAAACTGATGAACTTATTGCCAAATGACCAATCCGAGCACAGACAGCGTGTGAATGTGTGTACTCCACAGTGAACCAAGGCAGTGGTGTGTACTCCAAATCTTCATAAATCAACACGCTATGTGCTCTAATCACGCACTTAGTGCCTTTGTATGAAATAAAGAATTTTGGCACCTGCAGGTTTTGTAGCTTCTGCATGGAGACTCATTCTTAGCTGTCTTAATTTTTGTTGCCGTTCCTGTCTCCTAAGTCTTCGGTTGAGTCTTGATTTAACATGGACCTAGTGAAGCCAGCCTGCAGGAAGTCACAACTAGGGCAGAGAATTCATGGTATAAAACCCCTGCTGACTCTGTCACCAACACAGTACGCTCAGACTGCAGGGATGAGAAGAGAGAGCTCTGTGGCTGGATGAGAGAGCCCGGCCAGTGGTTCCACAGGAAATGGAGATGCGAGAAATCCAGCCTGGAATTTGGCGTCTGGGAAGCTTTGATAGGGTTCCAGAAGAGGACAGGACTGTATTTGAATAAATGTAGATTGTTGTACATGAATAAATGTAGAACTTTATACATGGAAAAAATTAAGACATCCCCTGAAAACAAGCCCTAGTGCATCTTTGTTGGAGCAATCCTTACAATAAGACCCTGTCTTAGTTTCAGGGAGGCACAGTATGTGGACACACTCACACGCCCCTTCCAGATGGAAACTGACCTGGCAGGTGACCCGGGCATGAGCAACGCGGTGCACTACACACAAGGCCTAGGTGAAGAGACAGGGTCCGCACGCGTGCACATGCTGCTGCTGGCACAACTGTTGTACAGCAATTATTTTTAGTTAAGCAGAAGGGTGCTCTGAACTAACAACAAAAGGTAAAACATAAGCCAGGAACGTCACCTATTACCACAGTCAGGTACCGCGCCCCGTACCTAATGGTGTGCGCCATCCTTACCCGAAACCAGGCTCGTTCCCCCAGCATCGCAAACGTGCTGAGCTGGGCCGCCGCTGGTGTCCAGGCGGCTCACACGGGTGGTGCCGGAGATGGGCCCGCACATGCTCAGCTCGGGTTAAGCACTCGGTCACAGGACTCTTTCCACTCCGTTCTGGGCCTGTAGGACCACCATCCTGTCTGCAGCGTCTGGCTGACCAGAAAGCTGTGACACGTGACTACTGCGTAGGCTGGAGATGGCTTGGCGGTTACTGGGCTGATAAGTCAGAGGAGAGTAGGGCTTAGCTGAGACTGATGTTAATGGGCTTTCCTGGGACCCAGAAGAGCCAAAAGATCAAGTCCAAAGGGGAGGAAACATCTGGCATCCCAGTCTGAGGAAGTCAGGCAGAATTCTGTTGACCTCTGTCCAGATGGGCCTCCATTATCAGGGCGGGACCTTGCTTCACTCGGTCTGTGGATGTACAGTTGAATTCACCCAGAAACAGGTCGCCCCTCCCCCAGGTCAGGCAGCTTCACATCACTCTAACGAAATATCTGAGGTAGTTTAACTTATAAAGAGGAAAGGTTTATTTGGGCTTACAGTTTGGTTGGTTCTGATCCAGTACCTCAGGCCCTGTGGTGGGGCAGCATAATCGTGTCTTGGAGCCATAGAGCTACACCATCCGTCCATGGCCAGGGGGTCCCACTACCCCCTTGCAGGGCACCTGCCCATGACCTAATGCATCCTCCTGGTCTTGCCTCTGAAAGGTTCCACCACCTCCCAGCAGTGCCACCCTGGGGACAGAGCCTGTCATACAGGCCTTTGAGGGTATCCCAAGCTCAAACCAGGGTGACACCTAGATGGGCTTTCATGCCCCTCTGAAGCCAGAAGCTGAGGAGAGAGGACACTGGTGAGTTGAGGAAGAGCCCACCAGGGAGGAGCACTACACACGGGCCCTTCAGGCTGCCGGCCACTCAGGCCCTTGCACCAGGGGACCACTGGGTCATGGGCAGCTGACTGTGCATCAGTCCCCAGCCTGGCCACAGCACACGCGGTGCATTTGAGCTCCTGTGAGCACCTGGGAACAGGACGGAAAGTGGCCCAGGTAAACAGCGACCAGTACCCCCTCCAAGGCAAACTAATTCTCTCTTCTCTCTCCCTCTCTCCCTCTCTCCCTCTCTCTCTCTCTCTCTCTCTCTCTCTCTCACACACACACACACACACACACACACACACACACACACTCCAAAACAACACTGTATCTTTTTACTATACCAAAGACACAGGAACCACCCAAGGCAGATGGCACAAGCCCATGCCTCCATGGAACATGCTCCTCCCACACCTGCCGTCAGGGGTATGTCCTTTTCCTTCTGAGACCTCTTCAGCCAGCTTGAAAGTCCCAGGGAGCACTGGGGGAGGGACACTGCCTGAGTCCAGGCATCCCGGCAGTGCCACCAGGGTCCCTTCCAATCAGTTTTGCTGGATATAAAACGCTTGGTCTTTTGTTGACAAATTGTAATTATTCCATTTGCTACTGGCCTAAAATTTCTGTCCTTGAAAGGTTCCTTTTCCCTCTGTAGCCGCTCCAACTGATTTTTTAAAAAATTCAGTTCCTTTACCAGAATCTTTCCCGATTTCAGTCATTCTCAGGTCACTGCTCCTGCAGTATTATCCATGTTTGATCTTCTTGGTATTTTTGCGTGTGTGATACTGGGGACTAAACCTAGGTCCCTCACACTGAGATACATCCCATTTTTCTTCTTTTTCTTCTTTTTTTTTTTTTTTTTGTATTTAAAACAGGATCTAAGTTGCCCAGATTGCACTGGAACCCGCAATGCTCCTGCCTCAGTCTCCCAGACTGCCGGGATTATAGGTATGCACCACCACACAGTTTGGTCCATCTTCAATACTGACAGTCTTTTTTTCTCTCTCCTTGTGATTTACAGAAGCCCCATTTTTCACTTGGCATTATCTGCTCTTTTGGGGGGTTTTGATTCCTTAAGTCTTAATTTCTGAAATGAGTTTTGAATTGGTTTCCAGTTTTGGAGTTCTGTCATCTCATTTCTGAGTTTTTCTAATTCTCACTTATGCTTTTTATGGCTCATTTTTTCAAGTCTCCTCCCCGCTTTTTATACCAGAAATTGAACTCAGGACCTTGCACTTGCCTATATCCCCAGCCCAACTCCCTTGATTCTAAAATACCTTGGCTTTTCGTTTTAAGGTGAGGTCTTCTTGAACTGCCCAGACTGCCTCAGCCTGTGAAGTAGCCTGGATTAGGTGGTGCCACCATGCCTTGCTTGAAGCCAGCCATTACCTGTCAGCAGGTCTGCTCTGCATCGCAGGGGTGTTACCTGCTTGTGCTTCTCTGTGGCTTTGTATGGACCGGACTTTTCTATTTCTACACCAGTTTTTATGCAGAAGTGTAAGATTTCAGAATGAAGAGGCTCAGGGGCATGTCTCTGGCTTGGGGCTCCCCCTACTGTCGCCCTGGGGGTGTGTGCCTCAGCAGGGGGGTGGGGTGCTTTGGCAATGGGAGGTGGGCGTGCAAGGTGGGGCACCTGGGCTGCCTGGCTCTGGGGTCTTCTGCTGAGCGCACACTAGGTGGGGAGCTCCCCACGCGGACCCTGGGCCACACCGCCCATTCTTCTGACATTTCAGTATTCGACCTCTGCTTTTCCCTGGAAACTATGCCTGTTTGGGGGTCCTGGGGAGATCCTATCAGCGATGTCACAGGACTTCTTTGGGTGGTAGTAGGGACTGACCTCAGGGTCTTGTGCATGCTAGGCAAGCACTCTACCACTGAGCTACACTCCCAGCCCTCTTCACAGGATATTAGCATTGTGGTAGTAAACGAAACACAAGCCATTTGCCACTTTGAAGCATAGGTTCAGCAGTCGACAGGCTTCAGCATGGCGTCCCTGGCCCTTGTGTGGAAAAGCTACCATGAGAACCCTGGCTCTCCAAACCGTCAATTTCCAGGCAACATGCATCACTGGTTCCTGACCACTTTAGTGAAAACACCACCTCCTGACTGAGCTGGAAGGCGACCTGAGGTTTACACTCTGCCACGAGTGACCACACGCAAGGTTTGATGGTCCAGTGGGAAGCACGGTGTCATTCAAGTCACTGTTTCAAGGTGGCCAACTTCTGAAGACAGAAGAGCTGGGCTGCTGGTCAGGGATACTCGGGAGGCCTCCAGCTCTGCCGGGAGAATGTGACCACCAGCAGAGGCTGGAGAGACAGGCCTGACCTGGCCATCGCAGGAACAGCAGAGCACAGGAACTGCCCCGCTTCCGCAGCAGGCAGTGTCTGGGTGTTGCCAAGGCAGGGAACCCCCGACCTGGACTCACGCAGGCATCTTCTGCTTTCCACTCGTGCTGGCTGGACCCCTTGGCTGTGCCCTACAAAGGCCAGATCTCAACAAGAACAGTGAGTGACCTCAGTCTCCAGTGGGAAGAGCTGCCAGTCTCTGTACCCTGAAAGCCAGTGATGCCCACCCCACTGAGCCTGGGGGCTCTGCTGCTGCAGGCCCCAGGTACAGAGAAGCTGGACAAGGCACCCAGGCTGTGGTGGGCCCACAGCTGACGATTTTATCTGCGGCAGCGCTGTGCTTAACGTAAGCCATTTTGTCATTACAGGAACATTGTGTTGGTATCAGGGCAGCGCACTCCTATTTGATCCAGCTGAGTTAGGCCCACGCACTGTGCGGGAAGGACCCACAGCCCTAATCATGACCTGCACAGCCGGACAGTGCCTGCGCGGCCACGGCCTGTTCTCTGGCCTCAGCAGGACCCTTGGTCCCACAGTCTCTGCAGTCTCCTATCAATTTCAAACTTTTTATGGGACATTTTCATAGAAAGGGAAAAAAAACACTGCTCTTTAAACAGTTCACATTTATTATTGGTAACAATAAAAAAATCTTTTAAAGACTATCAGTATTATATTACCAAGAGCGAGGTAATATGCTTACAAAACATTTACAGAATTTGATATACAAATGTTGAATTTAGGAAGGAAAGTGAATTAAGATGCTAGTATTAGGAGGGAAAACCAAAAGAATCGTTAGTACTGAAAAAGGGGAAGGACAGCAGCATCTTTTAAAAAGTGGCAGGACACAAAAGACACGGCGGACTACAAGATCAGGTCACACACGTCCTGCAGCTCCTGCAAGGACAAGGTGGCGCATTCCTCAGGGACCCTGCAAGCATCTGTGTGGTCGTGTGCTTTGAACTCTTAAAGATGCCTCAGTTCTTTGGGGGTAAACAGTGCCACTTCCGAATCAACTTATAAAGGACAGATCTTCAGCATAGGGTGGGGACATGGCTGCAATTCAAAGAGTTCTAGAAACATCTCTGGGCACATGTGGACTGTTGAGTGAAGCATTTTCTTGGCAGCTGTCAGCAAAATCGCCATCTGAGACAGAGGACAGGGAGAGGAGAGACAGAGACAGAGAGACAGAGAGAAGGGACCATCTTCAGGTCCTCAGAACCTGGGGATGGGAAGCGCTAGCAGAAGCAGAGCAGCCGTGCAAGCCGGCCCTGCCGTGCTTTCTAGAAGCAAGGCTTTGGGGCCGATGGGCGCGTGCTCTGTATGAGAACCATGCAGCGAGGCGGGCGGGGCAGGCCTGCCTGTGTCTCAGGGTACAGGGAGCCAGAGGGGTTCAGCTGACTGACACAGGGCTGCGCAGTCTCTCCCCACACACACCAGACACCTGTGGCATGGGTACGCTCCACGGACCTCTCCAGTCACATGGCCACCCACCCATCTGATGCCTCGGAGCAGCCAAGACCACGCACTCTAGGAGTGAGGTGCTCACTGTGATGTCCCTGCAGGCTTTGGCACACATTTCTGGACGCTCCTGCTATGCACATGGAGAGCAGCCCTATGCAACTTCTGGACAGATTTGTAAATAATCTGCTCGTCCTGTAAAATGCTAGGAAAAAAAATGAAGACCTGCACAGGACACAGCAGGCTCTGTCACTGGCAGGTGAAGAGAATACACAAGGGGAAAATCCTTTCATAGTCTGGCTGGCTTCTATGAAGACTCCCTTGTCACTTAAACTGCATTTCTTTTTTTTTTTGGTACCAGGGATCAAGCTCAATGATCTCGAGTTTGCCAAGCAGGCACGCCGTTGAGCTAAACTCCCGGCCTTTGAACTACACTTCTACCCTCCTGCCACACGCTCACACACACACACGCACACCTGCAAAGCAGCAGGGGCTCCGCCAGCCACGAGGCACTGTGGGACCCTTCCAGGTCGCTAACAAGCACGGTGCCCGCAGATCAGAAACAGCCAACACAGCACACTGTTCCCAAGATGCCCTCCTAGAGCGGCCGGGAATTGGCCAGGCCAAGGAGGTGAGCGGCTGGCAGGCAGAGGAGGAAGATGAGCAGTGGGCAGAGGCCTCCCTGCAGGAGAGCAGCACCCAGAGGGAAGGAGAGCGCCCCACCCAGGTCCACAGACAGAAGAGTGCTGTTTGGAAAATACTACAAGATGTGGGAACGAGGAAGAGCAATGTTTAATGATGGTGGTGTTCTCTTGGAGTCATGGGGAGCTCCCGGCAGCCCCTCCTGAGGCACCAGTGCCCACTCAGGAGCAGCAGGTAGACCAGCTAGGGCTGCCCGAGTCCTCAGAAGAAAGGAACCTGGGGATTGCCACGAACCCACCGACCACGCTAACAGGGAGCTGAGAGGACTGCAATGCAGCTCAGGGTGGCAGCCGAGGCTTCCGTCCCAAGGGAGAAGGTGGGCTCGTCTCTGCAGGGCATCAGAGTAAGTCACTCACTAGTGGGCAAGGTGTTTGTTGGAAAAATTTTTTGCATCATCTGAGATGAAGTCGATCTTTTAACCAGCATATAAACTACTTGTCTTTCAGGAGAGCCCTTGTGCTCTGGTTTGATTCTGTGCACGTTGTATACAAAATCTATGGCTATTGAGTTAACATGAGGGTTAGAGTTAAAACTTCCTGTCAAGATAGTTTTGGGATCAAATGACTACATTTACCACCTGGAGAGCCTCTGCTATCTAGAGGGCGAGAGGAGTCTGCACAACGCTGCCTGCGGTGGCCAGCAGGCCGGCAGGCAGGCAGGCAGGCAGAGCACGGCGGGCTGTCCAGCAGGCGCGGCTGTCCCCTCTGACCGCTAGGCACAGGCTTCGCAGCACTACCTGGAAATCATGGAGCTGGAGTGAGACTGGCTGGAGGAAGTGGTGGCGGCGCTCAGCTGGGAGAACCCACTGTGGCTGGACTCCAGGCTGGTCATGGAACCTCTGCAAACAGCACAGGGGTGGGACGAGGTGTAAGGACCCGGCCATGAGCCACCTGCCTACCCACACCACCCTGCTCTGTTCCTCATCCCCACTTACAAGTGGAGATGGACCGCGACTGTCCCACTGCAGGACACAGCTTCCTATACCCTCCAGGGGCGACAACGCGTGCTAACCAAAGGTGAAGTCAGTTCCATCCCTCTGATACTTTCCCACGACAGTGCAAGGCCAAAGCCAATGAGCGAGCCCAAAGCTGCTCCTCCAGTGCCCCCACAATTTGCTATCCCTGTTGATCAGAGCCAGGGCCCCAAGCCTCCGATGTCACTTCTTGCTCTGTCTTGTAAGCTGGGCACCTACTACAGTACCTGAAATCCTCGGACCCGATCACTTCGGTGTAGTACATCACTTTGCACTTGTGAGAGGAGACCTGCAGCGAGGCCAGCACGTCATCCACCCGTGGCAGGTTGGTGGCCGCACACGCTGGCATGCTGTGGAACTTCCACTGCAGGATGTAGAAGCCCGGCCACCTGGTCACATGTGAGCCCTAGAACAAGGAAGGCGGGTGAGCACCTCTTGCCCAGTCCCCATCTTAAAATGGTCTGCGAGGATCATGGGAGCAATCTCTGAGTCTCGCCCGTGACCATGTCCACCTGGTTACAGACCTGTGGCTTTCATTATCAGGAAGTGATCTGATAGTGTCCTTCCATATGCTGGAAGCCACAGGAGCACTATGTCCCTATCACCTGCAAGGCCCCACAGCTTGTAGCTTTTGGCTCAGGACAAAGGCCAGGAAGAAACACGCCAGGTCCCATGCTGCTATGAAGGCCAGAGGCAGCGGAGGGCAGCCAGGCTGGGCACAAGCACTCAAGACAGAGGCCAGGACATGAGACACGAGTGCACAGCACTTTACACAGCCACCTACTAGGACATAGGCACCACAATGCTCACCCCGCTGCATCTGTGCAGGGCCACTCTTTCCAGAGGAACAGGCAAAGTGGGTCTCACACACGTCACCTGGGACCGAGCTACGTGCACATGGAACTCCTCTCCTCCCTGTCGCACGCTGTCTAGATTCACGCACCTCAGCAAATGCTGAGTTCTGCCTCAGCCCTGTGAGGCCTGAGTCTTTCTCTCCAAGACTCACCCAGCTTCCCAGGTCTCTCACCCCAGTAACTAGGCAACACCTCCAGGAGCCAGGGGCGTGGGGAGACGCCTGCTGACCAAACAGCACAGCCCCGCTGCACCCAGCAGCAGGCCCTACCTGCACGCTCTCGCCTTCCTTACAGATGAGCGGCGACTCCACCATGCTGTAGTCGCGGCCCAGCTGCCAGAGCCTGTCTATGAGCTGCACGTTGTTCCCGCCTGGAGAGGCGATGCTGTGGGCACCCAGCGAGTCCTTTTTCGGCGGCTGTGGCGACCTCTTGGAGTGATAGATGTTAAAGACAATGTCCCCTTTGCACACATCAAAATCCCAAGTGATCACTGAAGAGGCCTCCACGATCTGGATGAGAATCTGCAGAGCAGAGAGCAATCAGCTGGCCAGGCCGGGCCCGGCCGCAGACGCCAGGCTGTTTCGCAGGCACTTCACAGCCCAGACCTGTGTGTGGGGTGGGGATGGCGTGGATCGCGGCAAGTGACTCTCTTCTCTTCACCCAGGTCACCCAAACAGCCGAGCGCCACCGGCTCTTCCTGCTTCTAAGAGCAGTTCTTGCTGTGTCACGCACACATCAAGCTCTGCGCTTTCTGTGATCAGCACCCCTCGTGGCCCCGCTCAGCCTGCATCACCTCAGCCGGCATTCTAAGCAATGGGGTTTCCCGACCCGACAGAAGCCCTGGGGCCTGCACACAGAGACTGGGTGGCCTGCTCTGAGCAGGAGGACAGCAGCAACCCTGCAGAGATGAGGCAAGGTGAGACAGGCAGAGGTGGTGAGGCCGCGTGCTGGACACAAGCTGGGCGGGAGCACTGCCAACTGCCTAAGGGAGCAGCAGCAGACTGGCCGGGCGGGCAGAAAGGGGTGAGCCAGCCAAAAGCCAGGATCTCCTTCTATTGGAAAGCTTTTGCACAGCAAGAGAAACCACCAACAGAGGGAAGAGACAGCCCACAGTGTGAGTAAAATGTCTGCCAGCTGTTCCTCAAAGGATCACTACCTAGATATAAGGAACTCAAAAAAACCCCAAATTTAAAAACCCAATCCAAAAACAGGCATCTGAAATGCACAGGCACTTCTCAGATGGAGAAACAGAAATGGCAAATATATGAAAAAGTGTTCAAGATCACTGGTTATTCAAGAGATGCAAATTAAAACACCACAGATTCCATCTCTCCCCAGAAAGCACGGCTAGTATCAGGAAATCGACCAACAACAAATGCTGGAGGGGCTGTGGGGAAAAGGAACTCTTCTCCATTGTTGGTGAGAGTGTAAACTGGTGCAACTACTATGGAAATTAATGTGGAGATTCCTCAAAAATCTAGGATTGGAGGTCCCGTTCACCCCCACTACTCCCATCTTGGTATCTTCCCAAAAGAATTAAAAACATCAGACCACTGCAATCCACGCAGTCTCATGTATATAGCACGGCACAATCGGAAATAACCAAATCGTGGAAACAGCCTAAATGCTCATCAACTGGTGGATGGATAAACATGGTTTTTTGTTTTTGTTTTTGAATACAATGGAGCAATACTACTATGCCACAAAGGACAAACTCGAGACATTTCTAGGTAAATGGATGCATTCTGAGACCTTATTTCACTGTTAAGTGAAATAAACCTGACACACAAGTGTGCAAATATCACTTTGTTTCTCTGGTGCGAAAAACCAAGTGTAAAGAAGGACCAAAATGTATAATAAGTACTGTGAAATAGTAAAAAATCAGGGAGGGGGAAAGAAAAGGAAAGCAAAAAATGGAAATAAAGCTTTTTTAACTGGGGAAGGAAGAAAGGATTGAAGAAATGGTAGGGGAATGAGAAAAAAAATCAAGTTATGTCATCTAGAGGTACAAATTCTACATGATGAATGTGATCACTGGACCAGGGACTTAGCTCAGTGGCACAAGTGCCTGCCTGGCAAGCACAAGGTCGTAAATTCAATGCCTGGTACCAGGGGAAGAAAACTGAACATGATCATTATTATACCTAAAATGTACCCATAAAATCTGACTGGAAGGAAGGAAGTGACAAGCCACAGCTGGGGGCAGAAGGGAGGGGAGGCACCTGGTGCTGAGTGCCAACCCAACCAGGATTTCACCCTGAGCAACACAAGGCTTCCCAGCAGCATGATCAAAGCCACAGCTCCCAAAGATTCCCAGGGAAGACGCGGCAGCAGGTGCTGGGCAGAGCTCTGGGCTCACTGGCCTCCGCCCCACCCCGCCCTTCTGCGCCAGCCAGCTGCGCAGACACCCCAGCCCCTAGCAGCAGTCAGCAAGGCACGGCAGGCCTCTCAGGCGGCACTGTGTGTGGCACTGAGTGCTTTCAGCCAAGCAGCTCCCAAGGGGCAGGTTCTTCCTAAGACCTCTGCCCCTCTGCACAATGGGGACACTGATGTCAGGCTTCCTTCAGCTGTCACACGGTGACATTTGTGCTTTCCTCATTCCCCAAGAAGTGGCTCAAGTCTTTTTCCTTCTCCTGCTCCGGGGTTTACGGTGCCCTGTAATTCACAGGAGGCAGGCTACACTGCTAAGCTCTTGTAACACACAAGACTGATGGTTATCTAGTCACAAACAACTGTTCTTCCCTGCCGGTTTTCACCTAAAAAGAAATTAATAGAAGGATTCTCAGGACAGTTACGTAAATTTCACTCTCCCTAGGAGATCCTTGAGGAAGGCAACTCAAATACGTGTTCGCAGTTCAACCCATAGCGGCAGTGCTGCCCAGCCAAGTACCCCCAATGCAGAGTCAGCTGTGCAGAAAGACACCAGCAATGGGGGGCAGCAGGTGGCTGCACCAGGGGCCTGGCAGAAGCAGTCAGGGTCGGGTCTTGGCCACCACTGTGGGTCGAAACAGCACTGCGCTGTGAATGCCTCCTCCGTGCAAGGCACTGATGCTGGCGCCAGCGGCCAGCAGCCATGAGCCTGCCCTTGAGCTCAGGGAAGGAGGCCACTGTGGTCCTCACACCTCAGGTCACACACAACGCGAAACGACAGACACGTGATGATGTCACCAGGAATGCTCTCATCTCCACACCACAGTGTGACTGCAAGAAGACAGAGCAGAGTTGTGCTCACTTCTCCTCAATCCTCAAGATGGACAGAAGTCAGCAGTCCCTCAGGAGATACACACAGCCAGAGCCCCGTCAAAAGAAAACCAGCAAAAGACACTCTGTACCAGCACTGTTTCTAAACTGAGCTATGGAGATGAATACAACCTTCCCGCATGGAAAGATGTGCTCTTTGTATCCGTGTCAAGGGTAAAACAGAAATCACGAGACCAAGCTGCCTTCAAGGCACTCTGTGACTGAACACAGTGATTTCTGTTCCACTCTGACAGACCCTTGCTCTTCCACATCAACATTTACCACACTACATCACCTGGGTCTAAACCTAAATGCACAGGCTGGAGAGCAGGCCGGCTGCTGGGTGGGACAGCCCTGGGGAGGGGGGGCCCTCGCAGAATACCTCATGCGGGGCACCCTTGAACACGCTCGCAGACTGGTAGATGGTTTCGGTCCAGAGCTTCAGGTCTTCGTTTTCTAGCTCCTCTGCAGTCCTATACAGAGACTTGGGAACCAGGCCGCCCTCTGGCACTTCACACTGGAAATGCAAACACAGCGGTGAATGCTCTGCCAATAGTCCGCCTCTGAACACAGTGCAGCTGGGCAGCACCGCACCCCAGCATTTGGCTCCCGGAAGCAGCTCAGAAATGGAAAACGCTAGCAAGGGCATACAATACAATATTCTGTACTGCCTAGCAAGACACTTTAAAAACCACTTAAGTACATGTGTTTTATTTTGAATAAATGAGGATAAGTTGAAAATGGCTTACCACAGAACTCATGCTAATATGCACAAAGTACTGGACTCAATCACTAAGGCCATTTTGTAGGAGAATTAAAGGAATTTACATTGTGCTACAAAGGAACATGTGAAGGAAAGAGTTTTATATCCAACAACTACAGGAATTATTTTTATGAGGAATCACTGGGGCTGGGTATGTGGCTCTGAAGTAGGGTGCATGCCTATGCGCGAGCCCCTAGGTTCGATCCTTGGCACCAGAGGTGAAAAAGGAAAGAGAAATTATGCTCCAGATAAATAATCAGGCAGGCAGGCTGGCACATGACTATAATCCTAGCATGCAGGAGGCTGAGGCAGAAGGATTGTAGCAAGTTTGAGACCAGCCTGGGCTACAAAGTGAACTCCAGGCCAGCCCGAACTGCGTAGCAAGACTCTGTCTCAAAAAGACCAAAAATAAAAGATACATAACCAAGGGCCAGGGATACAGCTCAGTAGCACAGCGCCAGCCTGGCAAGTGCTAGGTCCTGAGTTTGAGTACCAGTTTTTTATATACAGATATATATATACACACACATACATATACACACACATATGGCCAGTGATTAAAGCTTCACATGTAACTCAGGTCAAATAACTGACCTATGATATAATCTAAAAATTAATAAAGGACAATTTTAAATTTATTTGAAGAGCCAGGTGTGATGGCGCACTCCTGTAATCCCAGCACTTGGGCGGCTGAGGCAGCCCAATTGTTTTAAGTTTGAAAACAGCCTGGGCTACAAAGTGAGCCCAAGGCCAGCCTGAACCACAAAAAGACCCTGTTTCAAAAAGACAATCAACCAATCAATCAGTCAATAAATTTGAAATAGGCTAAGTTGAATTAGAATTTCTATGTATAATAAATTCCTAATTAACCTTGATTCAATGACTTCATGCTCGAGTTCATAAAAAACAAACAGCAGGTCCTGGGCTCCCAGTACAGCAGGAATGGGAAAACGTCCTGACAGTCCTGACAATGACAGCACTCCTCAGTTCAATTCCCTTGGGCCACAGGAAAGCAGACCTGCTGGGGAGCTGCACAGAGGTCGCCTGCGGAGGGCAGCACAGGGACAGCGGGCTGACTAGTCCAGCGCAGGGCAGCAGCACAGGCCTCTGAGGAAGGCTGAGTGACACACCACCGTTGCCCTCCCAGGGCAACTAGCTTGTCCAAGAAGAGCAGTTTGTGTTTCAACCAACTTGGCCCCCTGGTTTAATCTCAGAGGTACTTGCTAAATTAAGAGTCCTGTAATTTACTTGTTCTTTGCTCTACCTTGCAATTATGACTGCAATTTCTTTAAAGCAGAACTGGTAAACTGAGAGTTAAAATCTTACATTTTCTAAACCCCTTAACCTTTTAGCAAGATTGCCCTAGAAATCCAATTCCTTAGCTGGAGCAATGAAACAAGTCAGATCCAGCGTGTGAACACCTCCAAGGGGAACTTGAGGCCGAAGGGCAGGTGGCAGCCGCCTCTGACGCACGCGCTGGACCGCCCCCCATCCCGCCCATCTCCTGCCTCACAGGGGCAGCTGTGCGCGGGTGGCAAAGCCTCCCCGTCCCAGCCTCTCTGCTTCTGCCTCACCGTACAACAGTCTGGGGGAGCAGGCCTTTGGCTGGTGACCCAGAGCCTCAGTTTCTTAATACCCAGCCTCTCATTGTCTTAGAACCTCAGACTTTCAGAAAAGAGAACCAGGCTCTTCCCACTTCCCACTTTAAAAATGTTATCCTGGCTCATGTACTGTCAAGGGAGAAGCTGAGCCCTGGATCAGTCCCCAGTGCACTGTGCAGGGTTGGAACGGAGTGCAGCTCACACGTTCAGTGGCTCGCCTGGGCTCCGGAGCAAAGCAAGCTATACTCGGACTCCAGGCGCACTCACTTAGTGCGTAACTCACAAAGACTGCATGCCGTCAACATTACCGGAGTAGCCCACTCCGTTCAACCCTGGGACACAGGTCACCGACAAGAAAATAAAAACTAACACAGGTAACTCAAAGTAAAAGTTGTGCAAACTAGTGTGTAAATCAGTTCCCCAAATGTTGGAACATGCGACTCCCCGCCTGATACACACCATGCACTCCCCACTCAGGAAATCTGGAATAATCTCTTTATCGATGTAATCAAGCAAGCCGCCTGGACCCTGGTAGTCATTTCCTGCATAAATGAGGAATTTCCTTCTGGTATTGTCATCAATGAATGGACTAACCTGAAATCAATCAGAAAAAAATTGTTAACATGCTTTGCTGCTGACTTTTAAAGATCAAAATTATGGCACTATGTGTGTGGGGTTTGGATTTAATGCACTTTTCCTATAAAGTCTACTTGCACAGCATTAGGAGACAAAGACAATTGAGCTTCATTTCTTGCTTTAAAATTGAAAATTTTCATGTCGTTGCACATTTGTTTTGTTTTTTCCTAACTAGTTAAGAGCTATGGTCGTAAGTATGGCCATGTAGACACACGAGTATCTAATTTCCAAATGGCTAACGGTCATTGCAGAACAGCATCAAACCCACCAGCGTCCAGAGGACAGGGAAGACCCGGGGAGCCCGGAGGATGAGGAGGCGGCCCAGCGTCTCCGGGTAGTTGGCCTCCACCACCTCGATGATGCGCAGCAGGGCCTTGACACCGGGTCTCCACAGGTGGCGCATGTTCAAACCTTCAAGGTCCACCAGGCAGGTCCAGGAGCTAGGGGTGTGGAGATGTGTCTTATTCAACAGACAGCATCCTGGCAAGCAGTAGCCTGTATTTTTTCTTTTGATTTTATAAAAGTCATTTATAGCCGTTTCCAAATTCATCCCAGTGTAATCACAGTGCTCTGAGCTCTGTTTATATAGACTTGTACAGAACACTTGGACTCCATGTGACAGGACCAGTCCTGAACTAGCAAAGCGATTGATGCTCCCTGCCAGCCAGCAGAGCCCCTCGGGGTGCTCAGTGGCCAGTGAGTGAGGCACAAACCCTGTCCTCACCTGCTAACCCAACCCGCTGTCCACAGGTGCATGTCTGGCATTTAATTCGCCTTAGAACACCTCAGAAAATGGGGAATTACCAGATTGGTTTAAAACATCAACTGGAAACATTTAATTCATATCCTTAATAAGCTGAAAGGAAAAAGCAAAACCTTCTACCTACCTGATTGGCCGACCAAAGACTTTTGTGTTTTCTTCACACCGCCTCAGCCCCTCCTCATTTATAGATAGTACCTGCACAGAAAGAACCGTAAAGACAGGCTGGGGTGCGCCAGGACTTAGCTCCGCAGCTCAAGCACTTGCCTGGTGAGCGCGAGGTTGAGTTCAATCCCCATTACCAAAAATAAAAATGAAAAAATAAACAAAGCTAGGCCAGGGTTGGCCTCAGAAGGTGTGGTCAGCTGTGAGAGCACAGGGCACTCATACAGCAGATGGGGGGTGGGGGGCGCGTGCACACCAAGGGAACCGTCACTCGCCAGGCATCACTGCCATGGAAGACAAGCTTACTCTCAGAAGAAAACACTGCAACTTGGCACAGAAGCTCTGTCAGCTCAGGGAGTCCCCAGGTGACCAGAGAATGAGACTCCAGCTCCGAGCCTTGAGAACAGACGCTTTGGGAGGGCAAGAGGGAGGAGTGAAATATGGGACACCCTGGCCCAGAGCACCGCCTGAGAAGGGCAGTGTGGGGACAGCCTGAGTGAGGCTCTAGAGAGGCCTTTCATTCACAGTGACAGTGACAAGGCCTCCTTGTGCAAGAACTCCCTGTCTTCAAATCTGAGTGTGCACATGTGCATACACACACAGTGCTGGGGCGGGGGGAGACAGAAACCTAACAGAAGACAGCTCAAAGCACCAACAACGGCCGTTCCAGGAGTGGGGTTGTGGATGTGTCCGTTTACATGTCTGTTTTTCAAGAGTGGATTCTTCTCTGGGTACAGAACTCCACTGCGGTGCAGTGATGGAGGCTGCACAGAAAAGCCTGGGGAAGGCACGGGGTGGCCTCAAGTCTGGAGCAACAGGTCAGCGACTAGAGAAGAGACCCTTGGCATCCAGGGAGAGTGCCAGGAGAAAGCAGTCTCTCCAGAGGGTCAGACTCCAGGTATGGGACATGGAAGCTCAAACAGAATTCCCAGCAGACATCTCGACTAGACACACTGCTTCACTGAGTCTTCCACAGTGTCGGAAGACAGTTTTATAACTTCTGTGCCTTCTAAATTTTTATATATAGATCAGTAGATTTTCCTTTCTCACTGCAAGAGGGCCGGCTTGTCACAGCAACCCCTCGTGGGGTCACAGTCCTGCTGGCAGAGAACAGGAGGCCAAGCTGGCCTGCGCCCAGTACCCAGAGAAAACTCACATATCGCAGCAGTGCTTCCTCTCCGAGGGCCCTCACCAGGCCTTTGGTGTCCATCTGCCCGAGCCTGAGCACATAGAGTGGCCGCCCGTCTGCAGGGGAGGAGCGAGAAAAGCTGTTATCAGCACCCCCCCCCCACTGAGGCAGGGGAGTGCCTGCTGCTGCCTGTGAGGCTGTGGGCCCAGCTCCCATGTGGGGAGCATGGCAGAGCTCCCCCTGCTCCTTCGTGCTGCGGGTGAGCCAGACGCTCTCTGCTACGCTGACAGGCAGCAACTGGTTTCCACATGGGTGAGTGTCTAGCACTTGCCTCCAACAAAATATGGAAAGAAAAACAGGCCACTGGGGAGGGCGGGAGCCTGCAGACCTGCTGGGAGAGGGGAGCCTCGCCTGGCCACAGCGCCACCTCCCTGTGGGGCCCAAAGTTGCTGGGTGCTGAGCCCGCGCTGAATGCCTAGCGGCAGGGGAGGGGCTGCTCACATGCTCTTCATGAATACAGAACTCTTTGAAAATGGCTTTCCTTAGTTAAAAGATTGTTACTTCACAGGTTACTAAAAAGTTAATATCAAGACTTTTTAAAAGTTTTCCTCAATTTTTACTGTTTTCCTCAATTTTTACTAGTTTTCCTCAATTTTTACTAAGAACCAAAATAAGTGAAAATGTTCTTAGCCAGGCATGGTGGCACATGCCTGTAATCCCAACACTTGAGAGGCTGAGGCAGGAGGATTGTTTCGAGTTCAGCCTGGGCTACAAAGTGAGCTCAAGGCCAGTCTGAACTGCATAGCGAGATCCTGTCTCAAAAAGACCAAAAAAAAAAGGACAGACCCTGTCCCCCCAGGCAGTGTTCTCTAGTCTCCTGCCTCAGGGAGCTGCAGAGAGATAAACAGGGCAGCAGATCCATTCTGGTGGGGGACCAACACCCAGCTTCTTTCCAGGTGGCCTGCCACCTGGTGAGTCTCACTTCTGAGGATGATCTGGCCTTAGCTTCATTTACACAAAGCAAAATGTTTTCTGTGCTTCCAAATCTTACAGAAAAGCAAATTTACAAAAAGTTTCTTCTGACATTTAGTAAGACACCTGTCAACATTTCACTACCAAACTTTCTAATCTTCTGAAGACTGGATCAGGAGATAGAATAAATATAAATTCTAGGTTTCTAATAAAAATTAATAAAGTTACAATTAATCTGGAGAAATGCAATCATGTAAGACAGGGAAGCTAGACAAGTCAGAGCCACTCCATTTTGAAATGACTTGTTCAGACACAAAAGAGGGCACCTCTTTTCTGTACATGAGATCCTCTCTGCCCCATCGAGCCGTGAAGCACAAGGAGAGGGACCCCATGGGAGGGCAAGCACTCTCGCAAGGTGGCCTGGTACATAATGTATACAGCTGATCTCTGAACACCTTCATCTTTGGTGCCTTCCTCAATCTACGCCTGTATACTCTCCAGAGCAGAACTGTGTTCTGCATGGTTGTGATACAGAAACCTGGCTGGACATTTTGCTCCAGTTGTGAAGGTTAAGCTACTGAAACTCCTCTATTAACAGTGTCACTGAAAAAATTACCTTCTAAGGTTTTGGTTTAATTGGTCCAACAAGACTCCACTGAACTAAGAAAGGAGCAAAGTCATTTGCCTCAGGGTGAAGTAAATCCTAAAAGAGGAAGTGAAGCATTACAACCCCTTGCTGGCCACCCCCAAGAAACCTCTCACCAGATGATTCACTGGGGACAGCTTCAAGTCCTCAGTTAGGAGGCTAGCACTCATCAGCCTCACACCCATTTTATGGCAGGAGATCTCAGGGTATTCAGTGACTCCCAAGACAGACAATGACAGAGGCACGGAGATGTCAGGTTTACCCTACCTTTGTCATGGTGATGCCAGCCTCCGGCGTAGTAATCCTGAAGGACCTGTGGCGGGGTCCAGGTGTCCAGGATGTAGTCCACCTGGTGTTGCTTTCGCCAAGTTAATGACTGACACATGATCTCCCTGGCTTTGTCAATATTAAAATCCCGAGCCCGTAAGAACCGAAGAATATGTTCATCCTTTGGGATCTAGGAAGAGGAGAAGGTGCTTCTAAGCAGTGTGAAATGTTCAGAGTTGTCAAGGGAAAATACCAAGTTGCTAAGGGAATAAAACTCCACAGCTCCCACCTCTTCTCAGCAGTGAGCTGCACTGTTTCACTGTAAAATGAGTGGATTCTGAAGCTGAGAGTGCTTGCTTAGCAATGCACAAAGCCCTGCGTGAAATCCCCAGCACTATCAAAATAAAAAACATCTATTCCCAGAAAAAAATCTTCCCTGATGCTTTAGAAAACCAGCGTTATTAGCCAAGCATGGTGGTGCACCCTGTAATCCCAGCACTCAAGAGGTTGAAGCAGGAGGATCATTGCATTTTCGAGACCAGCCTGGGCTACAAAGTGAGCTTAAGGCCAGCCTGAATTACATGGTGAGACCCTGTCTCAAAAGGACAAAAAGAAAAAAAAAAAAAAGAAAAGAGAGAGAACCAGCTTTATTAGTGTAAATAATCTTTACAGTATTCCCTTTAGTTTCAGCAAAGCAAAGCAGAGGCTAATTTCCTAGCCCTGTGCACTGCTCCAGGGATGAGCTGTTAGGATGGAAGCTCTCTTCTGTATTGTGCTGCACTCGGTTTAAGGACTATGTTGGACTATGTTGTACTCTAAGAAAATAGCTTCGTTATACGTGTATTATAACAAAACCTGAAACACGGCTTATGGATGTGTTTTCCTTTTCCCTTTCGATGCCCTAATTGATATGTCAAGCAACGCTCTCCTCTGTAAAGAACTGTAAAACCTTACCTAATTGATATGATAACCATTGTTGCCCTCTACATAACAGAAGTGGTGCTAAAACGAGCTAACAAGGGTTGTTAATCACTGTTAGGCGCCTCTGTTGTCCGCTAAAGAGCTAAAGAAAACTAGGCTGGCCCTCTAATTTACATTTGTTTGAAGTAACTTGCTTGTGTGCAGGGAGATTTGCTTATTAGCATAACCCTTACCTGACCTTGATCCCCCTCCCAGAAAGAAAGAAAAACATAACCGCCGTTTTCTGTTCTGTATGGTGCCTTATTGCCTCCCCTCTCCGCTTACCTATCTATCTAGGCTAGGCCATAAAGATTTGGGGTTTCTGGTGGCCTCTTCCTGACCCGGTGGTGGTCTGTCATAAAATGTGCCTTAGCTTCAGAGAAATTACAGGAAAATATTGTGGCTTAACCCTAATGCACCAAAAGGGTTAAGTTCCAAATCCTTGTGAAGGCTTGAGTTTCAGCTTCTCCAAATGCTATTGCAGATAATTCTTATCTGCAGGATGGGAGTAACTCAAAAGACGCCAAAGGCTCCCGAGGTTGTCAGAACTAAGTGGACAGCTATACAGTTTCCAGATTCGGGTCAACAAGTTTGATGGCTCTGCAGGTTTTTTTGTCCCCCGCCCCCTTTTCCTCCAGCCTCTTTTTATGTTTATGTGTTGTTTTTTTTTTTTTTTTTTGGTCTTTTTCCTTTTTATTGGTAGCGGGGATCGAACACACGACTGCCTGCTTGCAAGGCAGGTGCTTATGCCGCTGAGCTAAATCCCCAGCCCCCCAGCCTCTTTTTAAAGTCCTCCCTTCAGTCTCTGGCACGCAGTCTCCAAATTGGCTCCCGAAGACTCATCACCAGGCCTGGTCTAATAAAGCCTTTGCTCCCCAAATTTCAGTCTCTTGCTTCCTTAGATCTTATACCGGGGTCCAACTTATTACAGACTACGAGGCATGCTGGTCTGGATGGTGTGGCCACGCTGCTGACGCACTGAACCCTTTCTAGATTCCGCTACCATCCATCGGCAGGCTGGGCCCTGAGGAACAAGACCAAGACCGTCTCTACCACAGGCTGCCAGGAAGTGAGAGGAACAGGAGCCTGCTCACTCTGCCACTCCTAGCAACACAGCTCAAAGCGTGGGGTCTCAGAGGAACCCAGGCACAGGAGTGACTAAGGACATGGTGCTGGGTTCAAATCACAACCCCACCACTCTCTAGCTGGAGGACCTCAGGGAAACTTCTTAACTTCTCTGTGCCTCCAAGCAGAGGGGATACAGCAGCACTCACCTCCAGGGCTATAAGTTTTAGAAGATTTCAGTGAAGGGCTGAGAACAGTGCCGACCACAAGTTCAGTGGCACTCAGCAGCCGGTTCCTGACCACCACCCTAGCGGTTCTCAGGACTGCCGAGCTGCCTGGACACCCAGCCTTCCTGGACTGGACCCCACCTACAGCGAGCGAGACACACTAGCAAGCCTCTGCATGCTGTGTAAGGATTTCCTTACAGACTTCACTTCTTTCAAGGCTACAATCTCACCTAAGACCTCAAATTAAAGCTCAAATACTCCTACTCTCTGAAAACTCTCTGAATCCCTTCCAAACTATCTTAAAATTAAAATGTCTGAATACCTGAAGGTAACATTTTTTGAACTTCACATCTATTTCTCAGCTAGACCATTCTCAGTAAAGCTGAAAAAGCTACAGCTGCTTACACAAGGGAGAGCATCGTAACAGCTAAGAGGACTCCAAGGCCACAGACGCCATGACCTTCAGGTGGGAAGGGACATGCCTCACTGCAGCGGCAGGAACAGTCACCCCTCCTGGTAACCAGGAACGGCTGAGAGATTCCAGGGTTCCACACAGACATCACTGTCGTACCTGGAGCCTGACACTCACCTTGCCTTTGTGGGTCTCCTGGAGCCACTGGCGAAGTCTGATAAGGCAGCTCTCTTGAAGTGGAGTCAGATCGCCCAGGTATCTTTTGATGTAGTCTGCATCTAGTTTGTCTGGAATGTACATCACACAGCATTACTTACAATGCAGAGCTCTGGATCTTCGGCTCACAGAATCCTGCTCAGTGCAGTCACCGAGTGGTCTCGGAGGACAGGAGGGAGGGGATACTGCGTGAGCCAGGCTTCAAGCAGCTGCCCTTGAGAGCCTGACAGATGCTGAGGCCAAGAAACTGATAAATTGATAAACCAAGGTAAGCTTTCTGACTCAACCACCTTCCCCTCATTACCACTGTCTGCAATAATAATACCATCTGTGATGGAATGATGGTTAGAACAGGTACTACAAATGCATCTAAATCTATCTTAAACAGCCAAAGTGGGCACAGTGGTGTATGCCTATAAATCTTAGCTATTCCCAAGGCTGAGGCAGGAGGATCACAAGTTCAAGGCCAGTGTGGGCCACTTAGCAAGGCCCTATCTCAAAAATTTTTAAAAAATGTTTTAAAAAGAGCTGTCAATGTAGCTCAATGCTCCCCAGGTTAAGTGCTCAGTAGTGCAAAAAGTTACTTGTGTTCGGGGCTGGAGGTTTAGCTCAGCGGCATAAAGCGTCTGCCTTGCAAGCAGGCAGTCGTGAGTTTGATCCCCGGTACCGATAAAAACGAAAAAGACAAAAAAAAAAAAAAAAAAAAAAAAAAAGTTACTTATGTTCAAGAACACAAGAAATCTTACCACAATAAAGTAACATAAAATGGAAGGATAAGGCAGGAAAATAAATACAACAAAGAAAACTTCACATGGTGAAAAATAAAACCTCCCAACCGCCCCAAGTTAACGGTAAACTACAGAAAGCAGAGAAAAACAGCACAGTATAGTTACAGAGAGAACACAAAAATTAACCGCCACTATTTTAACAAAATTTCCAAGTGGCAGAATTTGTTTTCTTATTTTCCCATGTTTTCTGAAGTCTTTATAATGGGACATTATAATAAAAATGAAAGATTTGTGCTTGAACCAGACCTCCTGGGCACAATCCAGTCCTGCCACTCACTGGCTATGTGGGTCCCACGACCTCTCTGTACCCAAATGTAAGGATGAGGAGCTTACACATTCCCTCCTAAAAGGACCTGCTACCAAATAAACACGCATCACGTGCTCTTGATGTTACCTGGCACACAGTAAGTGAACAAAGAGTTTAACGATGACGGACTTCTATACTGAAAGGATTGTTTTAAGTTTACTGAAGGTACTTTTGGCTAATATACATGTAAAACATTTTCTAATCTCAATGAAAGATTAACTAGAAATAACCTTTCCTGCTTATACAAAGAAATCTAACAAAAAATAAATGTGTATGTTATATAAGCTGAAGACAAGGAACCTAGAAAGAAACAAGAGGTGGCCTTTTGTCCATATGGCATCCACTGTCCCAAGGAAGCAAAGACAGGCAATGGGGGGAGGAGATGACCCTAAAGGACCTGTGTCCTGCTGGAGAACAAAGAAGCTCTCAGACCCACCGTCAGGGGTTCCCGCCATGGGCTCAGACACTGCGGCGGGGCTGCTGAGGGCCTCACTGCTCAGCCCCTCCTTGAGGCCAGTATCTGGGGGGACGACAGCTGAGGACGCTGCCTGAGTCTTGCTCGCAGACACTGGCTCTGAAGAGGGCCCAAGGGAAGGAGGCGTCCAGCGGGGCACGAAGGTGATGCCTTCTTCTTCTAGCTGACGAAGGTAGTATTCGATGATTTCTTTCCCCTTAGAAGAAAGCATGAGGGTGAGCATACAATCAGCATTCGGCTCTCACCACTCACGGGTTCAGAGCACACTGCCCAATACTGGCAGCTAGGCACGGGGCTCTGCAGCAGAGCACCAGCTTTGCCAGCCTGAGGCTTTGGGCTCATGTCCCAGAGCGGCTGAGGGGAAAAAAAAACCATGACAGGTTTCATGGTAGGGCCGTTTTGTTTTTCTTAATTATTTTACTTTCCTTCCTCCAAAGCTTTAAGACACAGTAAGCGCATTTTCATATGGCTAATTTAAAACCCTGATTTACCATACATGTGTCTATTCGACATGTTTTATGGCCCAATCCAAATTCAAATGTAAGGCTTTGAAAATCAAAGGGTTGTCCTGAAGGCAGCCCATCATCCCACACTGATAGGCCGTGAACCACCTGGGGGGGGTGCATATGATAAACCTGGATGGGAGAAGGGAGCCCCGCAGATGGCGGCTGTGCCCCGCTCCCACCTCAGCTGCACCCAGCAAGGCTGAGCGCAGAATGCTGGGGCTTGGAGCCACCTCCCTGTGCCTCCCTAATGCCACCAGTGACCCTCATGTCGGGAAGAGGCAGGGGCAGGGATCAAAGCGCTTCCTCTTTGGAAATGGCTGGGCAGCCCTGACTGACTCATTCCCAACTTTCCAAAAGACAGCTGACTCAGATGATCTTCCTGGAGAAACTCTTGCCCCCTCCTGCCATAAAATCCCAAGAGACTCACTTTTTTAATGTTGCTCGTATACTGTTTCATTGCGATTTTTTCCACTGTACTTTCAAAACCGAAGAAGGACTTGATATCTAAACTTGCAGACTGCTCGAAACAGGTCCAGTCTTCATTCTCAGGATGAACCTGCAGGTACAGAAAAAGGCACGCCCTCACACAGCCATGTCTGCGCCTCAAGTACCCGACTAATGATGCTACTATCATGAGAGAGCAGATGGAAAAATCACACGGAGGAATTCAAAATCCCTAAAAAGTCCCAATCATAACCCTAAGACACTCTCCAGAGATTCACTCCCTCCCTCCACACAGGAAGCAGCTCTCTTCACTAGGAACGCAGACCCTGCCTTGTGCCACGGATAGTCTAATGGGGAGGCAGACATTGGCCACCATCACAAAAGGTGAGTATGGAAAGGGGGTGGGGCTGGAGCACGTGAGAGGACTGGCGGTGGGAATCACAGCAGGCTGTACCATTCCGAAGGGGACAAGGCTGGCTTTACTGGAAAGGGAGACTGGAGCAAAGGCTGACGGAGGGAGAGACAGAGTCCTCAGGGGAGCAAGCCTGTGTCCAGGGAACAAGGAGGCGGCGGTTTGGCACAATGAAGTAGGGGCAGCAGGGACGTGAGCAGAACAGAACTCGGACCTCAGCAGCAGCTATAAAGACCGTGAGGACTAGGGAGAGGCCACAGGGCACTGAGCTGAGAAGTGACACCAACTGACACAAACTCTAAATGGGTGGCGTCAGGTTCAGGTAAAGGCAGACACAGAGACCTAGCAGGTTACTCTAGTCACTGAGGAGACACTGGTGGTAAGATGAGTTCTAGTCCTAGAGACACAGCATGTTGGCCTTTCAAAATACATTTCTAAAGCATTAGAAGTCAGATTTAAAAAAGAAATCCAAGTAACACTTGGCTGACTTAACTGTCACAACAAAGCAATCCACAATTCTCCGGTAAAGCAAGCCTGCTACCCTGCTGAACCCACCAGTCAAAACGGAGTGACGGGATCTGGTGAAGAACTGCCCTCTCCAACAGAGAGACGCACTGTTTACCACAGAGGTCAGCGCAGCCCAGCAGCTGCAGCCACTGTGCCCGCCAGCCTCTGCCCAGGCCCAGTACTCACAGAGTAGCAGCAGTGCTCATTAATGATGACCCGGTTAGAAAACGTTTCATTGTGGGCCTCAATGTGCAGAGTACGTTCCCGAGAATTCAGTGAGTTTTTCTGGACAAAGTAAACGTAATCAACGCCTGCAATCTTTAAGAAGGAAACAGAGAAGGGGCTTCTTAGTAATATCCAGCTGCACAGAAGCCTGAGTACAGATTCATGTGCCTGGGGGAGCACGACCTACTCCCATGCTCTTCCCAGTTACCTTCTTCAGCAGCCTGGGTGCATCTATATCCAGTTTGCAGCGCCTCTCAATGACGTGGATGGCCCCATCGTCACTCTTAAATTCATTCACAGTGTCACTGTCCACGAACATTGGAATCAAAGGACATGTAGGGAACCTCCTTTCATAGGCCTATGGGTCAAAAAGCAAACAAATACCAAAAAAAAAAAAAAAAAAGAAAGAAAGAAAGAAAGAAAGCAAAAAAGAGAAGGTGAGTGAGGCCCCAACCTGCTAATCTATCACTGCTAACAGAATAAAAACATTTCTCAACAGATGCCGACAGGCTGCGACAGGCTGCATCGCAACTGTGCCTTAAATCTGTAGCTTTCATTCAAAAGGAACAGACACTCTGTGTCATTGGCAATTTCAAAAGACGCCAATTCTGTCCACACACATACACATGCTGAACATAATTCCTACCAAAATCCCAAGAAAAATCTTCTGTCATTAAAAGTACAATTATTTTAAAATTTGCACGGAAAACAAAGGAACTAGAATAGCTTGATTTTTAAAAGAACAAACTGGCTAGCTGGGTGTGGTGGTGCACACCTGGAATCCCAGCACTTGGGAGGCTGAGGCAGGAGGATGGTTGTGAGTTTGAGAACAGCCTGGGCTACAATGTAAGCTCAAGGTCAGCCTCAACTGCATTGTGATACCCTTTCTCAAAAAGACAAAAAAAAAAAAAAAAAAAAAAAACCCTGGGAAACTCACTATTGTAAGTACTAAGGCTCACTACACATTGCTACATTGCATGGCATTGCTATAAATCAACTGACTAGAACCCAGAACATCTAGAAACTGACTCAAGCAAGCACCCCCACCTGATTTTTTTCCCTTTTTGGTACTGGGGATTGAACCCAGTGCCCTGCACACACTGAGAACATGCTCTATTTCAGCCACATCCCCTGCTTGCACAAAAGATTCCTTACAAAGGTCTAAAAGAATACAATGAAGAAAAGGTGGCCAGGCCAAACACAAAACGAAAACCTTGACCCAAACCTCTTATCAGGCAAAAAAAAAAAAAAAAATTAACCTAGACTGGATCATTCACTTAAGTGTAACACACAAACTATAAACCTTTTTTATTAACTATTTATTTTTTTGAGATAGGGTTTCACTATGTAGTTCAGGCTGGCCTTGAACTCACTTTGTAGCCCAGACTGGCCTCAAACTTTGCAGCAATCTTCCTGCCTCAGCCTCCTGAGTGCTAGGATTACAGGTGCACTACCGCAGTGCACTACCACAGCTATAAAACTTTAAAAAAAAAAAAAAAGGCAGGAAAATTTTTACTTCTATAACTAAGCGAAGAATCCTTAGTCCTCATACCAAAATTCAAATCCAGACAAGGAACAGATAAAATGTCACAAAACTAAAAACGTTTACTTCGCTAAAGTCTCTGTTAAAGAATGAAAAGCATACTGGGAGAAAATAGTCACAAACCACACTGGTTGACACCCCGCATGCACAGAAAACAGTTAACACTGTATAGTTGGCAGCACTGGAGTGGTTATGATTATGTCTAAGGTCCTGGGCTCAAGCCGCAGCATCAAAATAAAAATTATAAACGAGGGAGAGAAAAAGGTTAAGATAGTGAATTTTTATGATATACTTTAGATCTTTAAAAAAATTCAACTGTTAAATCCAACTTGAAAATGCACAAAAGGACAGGACAGGACATTTCACCATATGCAGATGGCAAGTAAGTATGTAAAGGGAATGGCCGTTTGAGAAATTAGCTATTAGAGAAATGCAAATTCAAACCAAGAGGAAGTATCACATGGACCTGTCCACATGTTAAGAGACAGAGTAACAGCAGACACTGGTAATGGGAGGAGAAACAGGGTCGCTCAGACTCTGCCGATTAGATTATCACAGACATATAAAGCGGCACATACACTCTGCAACAGCTGGGCACAGGGCATTTGTACGCATATGCTTTTAATGATTAACAAGGACCCAAGGGAAGGACAGAAGACTTTTCTCCTTCTAGAAAAATTGAGAAAATAGTAGCGTGTCACTCAGAAATACACTTAGAGTACACGTGGCATTCTGGCACCAAGGGTGGGTTCCAGAAGCCTCCCTGATGGTGTGCCTTGGGGAAACCTTGAGGGATACCAGGATCTACAAGAAGAGGACATGTATGCAAAGATCTGGCACTGGAGAACGTACGGCCTGACTTTTCACAGACTGAGATTAGAGGAGCAGCAAAATGCACCTTATTAATATTTCTGGCTTCATGTTAAGAAATCATAGTGAGGGCTGGGGATTTAGCTCAGTGGCATAAGCGCCTGCCTTGCAAGCAGGCAGTCATGAGTTCGATCCCCGGTACCGATAAAAAAGAAAAAGACAAAAAAAAAAAAAAAGAAATCATAGTGAAGTAGCACAATAAAACTAAAATTTTGGTTGGTTTCAAGACAGAAAATAAACACAACATACATACCTATCTTGTACACACACACACACACACACACACACACACACACGTAATTCACTTACCTTCCCAATTAAAGCGTAGGTATATGGGGGAAACCCCTGAAACACAGCATCAGCACAGAACCCAGCAAGGGCACTCCTGGGGATCAACCCCAGAATGTTCACACAGAAGCCAGCACGCAGCTGTTTACAGCAGCCCTACTCATCACAGATAACCCCAATATGGAAATAACGAGAAAATGACTAAACCGTGGTCCATCCCCACCACAGAACACTACTCACTGATGAAAAAAAATGAACCACGGCTAGGCATGGGAGCACATGCCTGTAACCCAAGGCTTTGAAGGCTGAGGCAGGAAGATTGCTCTCTTATTAAAGACCAGCCTAGCTTATATAATGGATTCAAGGTCAGCCTGAACTACACTTGAAACTGCCTCAAATAAAAAAGAAAAAGAACTATTGCACAACTTGGATGAATCTCTCCAGAGTATTACTCTGGGCAAAAACAGCCCAAACAACTACATACTAGGTAATTACATGTATGAAGGCTTTTTGTTTTGTTGTTGACTTTTCTAAGACAAGATCTGACTATGTAGCCAAAGCTGGCCTTGAACCTGCTATGTAGCCCAGGCTGGCCTCAAATTCGCAAAATCTTCCTGCCTTAGCTTCCAGAGTGCTGGGATCACACGATTCTGGTCTACAAAAACATTCTGTTTCCTTTTTGTCAGTGCTATGGTCTGAACCCAGGATCTTTGAACTGAGCTATCTGCCCATGTGTCACACTGCCCAGCCTGCACTTGAACCTGACACCCTCCTGACTCAGATTCTCAGCTAGGGTTCCAGGCAGCAACCAGATTTCTGCTGAAATATTCTTGAAAAGACAAAATCAGAGAAGCAGAACCAACTCGGTGGTTGCCAGGGAGTAAAGTGGCTGTTTTTTTATGACCACAAGAGGGCAGCGATAATGACCCTTGGGAACTGTAGTGAGGTAGGCCTCCTGACTGACGTGCTAGTTTTGCAAGATGGAGGGGCTGAGCTTCAACTGCTCAAGCTCCCCCCCACCCCGCCCACACACACACAGGGGTCTTTCAGGACAACTGCACAAGCGCTGTAAGACCCAGCCAAAGAAAGCCGGATTTAGCATAGCAGCATGAGCGCCTGCCCAGCAAGCATGAGGTTGTGAGTTCGATCCCGGTACAAAAAAAAAGAAAGCCCTAGCACAAGAATTGGATGGAGGAGCTCAGTCACCCTGCAGCCAGCACTAAGACTGGCCCCTGCTGCACACACACAGTTTGAGTTCAGGAGGAAACAATAAGTACTAAGCCCTGTGGCTGGATGTGGGAAACCTCTCCTGAGGCTCTGAGTGTTGTACTCAAATGTCATTTAATAAACACAAAAGGAACAACAGAATTTAAAAATCACCATTTTTACAGCCAGGCATGGTAGCACATGCTTGTAATCTCAGTATTCGGGAGGGTGAGGCAGGAGGACCATTGTGAGTTCAAGGCCCTAAACTGAATAGTGCGACCCTGTCTCAAAGACAAAGAGAAAGAAAAATCACCACTTTTCAGTTACATTGTATAGGAATTGATGTAAGCAAGAATCATCAATGGGCACCACTCAAAGGTGATCAGAAGAGGCTGTGCCACTCTCGCAGGCTGCCATCCTGCAGACCACTAATTACAAAGAGGCCATGGTCCCTCTACGATGGAAGGGTTGAGCAGGCACCTCCCAAACCAAATGACTGGACAAAGGACCAATGATACGACAGTCCGACAACCTGACAGGGGGCAACTGAGACACACATGACCCGTGCAGCCTTGCAAGAACAGAAACAGGAAGAGGGAGGGGGAAGAGGAGGAGAGAAAAGGTCAGAGTCTTAAAAGATGGGGGAAAAAGCTTGAAAATGTCTCGAATCTAAGAGACAGGGCTACTCAAACCAATGATCCATTAGTTTTTTACATGGAACAAAGCAAGGGGACCACGTGTTGTTTATTGAACAGTAACGTATCACCCTATTGGTGTAAAATTTCTTGGGTGGGATACTGATCCCAATTATGTGAAAGAACACACTTCAGTATTTAGGGATAAAGTGCACAATATACGCAACTTGCTTTCCAATGCTTCTACTTAAAAAAGTGTGTGTGTGCATGCGTGTGTGTGTATGTGTGTGTGTGTGTGTGTGTGTGTGTGAGAGAGAGAGAGAGAGAGAGAGAAACAGAGACAGCATGAGCGCGAGAAAGGAGACGTGTTTATCTAAGTGAAATGTGTACAGATGTTCACTGCCTTTTTCTACCAGGGTATTTCCCCAACTTTGGAAAATAGAAGCTTAAGAAAAAGAAGTCCCCATGTGAAATAAAAAGTACTACAAATCAAGAGAACCGCCTACAGCTTTCACTGTCTTTAGCATGTAACAGATTAAATAAAACACACCACATTTTGCACAGAGATGAATCAGCCCAGGTGGGCCGGACAAGGGCAGCCGCCTTCTTCCAGCTCTGTCCCCAGCTCTAGCTCCTAGGTTGCAGAAGAGAGCCAGCAGCCCCCAAGGGAGGCGGCAGTGAGGGTATTCACAGGAAGCACTCTGGGCTCGTAAGACTCTGTGAGCCCGAGAACACAACAGCAGGCTTCTCGTTTGGATCTCTGCACAGGAGAACCTCGCTTTTCAATGTTTCCCAGGCTCAGGGCACTGCCAAAAG